GGGCACAACATCTGGGGGGGCGCTCGCACTCGCAGCTCTCTGCCCCTACCTGGGTTAGGGGGTGCAAATTACTTGCCTTGCCCTGGGTGCTGACAACCCACGCTACGCCACTGATTCTATCTTCAATTTTCAAAAACAGATACCTTGTAGGGAGGGGGGAAATGAAAAGCACAAAACTTGAAACTGCTAAATTTCATTTAAATTGCAAGAATAAGTAACACAACAATCTTTTATTATCTTTCTCAAATGCAGAAGATGATGTTTTAGCACACAAATCTTTTTGAATCATCTTGTCTCTAAAAAGTTTCAATTTTAGGCACATCAAAATATCACTTTGCATGCCTTTTCCTTTGCTAATTTGGCCACTAGTTCCTTCAGGTCAAGGGCTGATACTTGAGCATGTTCAAATGATATAATTGACAAACCAAGTAGACTCTTTTGAAACATTGTTGAGCATATGTAAGTTCTTATAAGTTTGCACTTTCAGAAACTGCGGTTACCACATGCCACTGATACTGGAGGTGTTTAGAAGGACCCTTAGAGCAACAGAAACATTAGGCACATTATCCAGGAATTTTTGTTGTCATATGAAGAGAAATACTCCTTGTGGTGGCATAAACTTTGGAAGTCCTTGAGCTATTGCTCAGCACAGATCTTCAGCATCAACATATTTGTTTCCATTGTGCATTAAGGTCCTTTCCAACTGTATGTCAGCCGGTTGGTTAGAGCATGGTGCTGATAATGCCAAGGTTGCAAGTTTGACCCCTGTATGGGACAGCTTCATATTCCTGCACTGCAGGGAGTTGGACTAGATGATCCTCAGGGTCCCTTCCAACTCTATGATTCTTGGTATCATTTGGTTTTGCACTCAAGCAACAGCATTGTGTCAGTGACTTAGGCCTAGAAGAGACATGTTGTTTTCAGTTCAGTGCCAGGACTCAAGTCATGTACTACAGATATGAAGAATCAAGAATGCCTGAGTTTGTGCAGAACATAGGCTGGTTTTTATTTTAAATTTCCACCACACCTAATTCTTAGTGTTGAGGCTCGGGAGCAGGTGAAGCAACCGCAGAGACTGAGTGCCTCATAAAGAAACATTTTTTATTAATCAGGCATGACTCCTAGTAACTGGAGTAATACTGTGATGAGTAATAAGTGATGTATTGAGAGGGTCAAGCACTTGTAAAAAATAGTATGAAGCCAAACATTACATTTCTTTCCCCTTCAGGGGTGTTTTGGGTTCTTTTCAGCACAGACTGCTGTAATCGTTCTTTGTATTTATTGACTAGATTCTTTTTAGGGGAACTACAAACAATTCTATTTAAAATTAAAATAAACTAACATTGTAGTTGAAATAGGTTATACTGGGACTGTGATCTTCTGTGTATGTGAACATCCTTTAGAATGTCACAGAGAGTTCAGAACGCACAAGAAGAGCAAGATATTAAAAATGACACTTTTCATGCTGGGCCAAGATGACAATTTTGCCTGGGAGAGAGTTGCTTTTAGTTGTAATTCTACTGCAGAGGCTTCTTTTAAAGGAAGATTAACTTTGTGCGCAATGAGTTATCTGTAACAATCTGGTGCCATATGACCTTCTGGGGTGAAGAGTTTACTTCAGGGGAGATATTGTTTTAGCCAGATTATGGGGTGCATAACAGCACCTCAAGCACTATGATGGCAGTTTTAGGTAAGCTGTCTTTCTGTAGAACGTACCATAATAAATCTAAGTTAGCCATGTCCATTAACTTCAATTGATCTAATCTGGACAAGAACTGAATGCCACCCATACATTTTATCTCACTTTCAATTTTCCTTCAGCACCTTCTCTTGCATTTTTGCCTCAGAAGAAGGAGACTTTCCTCTACCCTCCAAATTCTTTTGATTTCTAGCCATTTTTACTCAGCATACAAAAAGATTATGATGCTGACATTAGTCCAAGCAAAAGGGGGGTGGAATAGCAAAGGGCAGGGTAGGCTGTGGCACCAAGGTCCACTAGTGGGTCATGTGCCCCACTGTTTTAGAAGCACAGCTGTAGGGTCATTCAAATGGATTTAGAAGAAAATGATGTATCCCCCCCCCCGAAATGTGTGACACAGGTAAAATGTAGAAGAGATTCTTATTTTATTATTTTTATTTATTTAATATACTGCCTTTCATCAGAAGATCTCAGGGCGGTTCACAGAATAAAATACAGGGTAAAACACAAGTAAATAATTAAACCAAAACAACAAAACAATAACGCCCCCCCCTTCCCACAGACACACTTAAAAGGCTGTAGAGTATTAATCAGCCCAAGGCCTGGTTGAAGAGTAGTCACTGGAGGCTTAATACTTGTTTTACTCTTGTAGTGTCATTGCTGCCACCGTGCCAAATTGTTGTGATGCAAAGCCTCTTAGGGAGCTGTGTGTGATATGATTTAAGCTGTAGTGTGTAAGCAGCAAAAGTCACATGATGCAGGGGTACTTTATGTGTTTTTCCTGTGGGCCGGGCTTTCATATGGAGTCACCTACTTCACCGTTTGTATGAAATGGATTTGTGTTGCTCTGGGAAATGGCTGAGACAAACCATTGAAGTAGATTCAGAAGGAAGCATGTCGAAGGATGAACCAAGTTAAAAAGACAAGAATGAAAGATAATGGGTGGCATCTTGTTCTGAAGCTCTAATGCTTTCCCCCTGACATTAAGAGGTGTCCTTGACATTGGGTTGCAGTACATGGAACACTTTTAATCTGTGATACAGCAGTAGCTCTGTGCAAATGGTTGATCCAACATGCGTAAAAGGGAATGGGATTTGATCGCTTTACCCAATTTCTCTCTGCCACACCCTCAAAGTCTATGACTGGCAGTCAAATTTGCATAGGCACCTTCACGCACAAAACCCAACAGGGGTGGCTCTTGCTGCAACATCCAGACACTTAATTATTGGCACCTGCTTGCATTCAGCTGCATGTTCAGACTCTGAGGCTGCAATCTATGCCCATTTAAATGGATGTAAACCCAGCAGAACACTGTGAATATATCCACATGGCTGTGCTTCCAAGTCCATTCCTATACAGTCGTACCTTGGTTCTCAAACAGAATGCATTCTGGGTGTCCATTCGACTCCTGAAACCATTCGAAAACCAAGGCGTGGCTTCCAATTTGCTGCAGGAGTGTCCTGCAGCCAATCTGAAGCAGTGGAAGCCATGCCAGGCTTCCAAAAATCATTCAAAAACCAGAACACTCACTTATGGGTTTTGATCGTTTGGGAGCTGATTTGTTTGGGAGCCAAGGCATTTGGGATCCAAGGTACGACTGTATGTTATTTATACAACACAGCATAAGTACAGAGGATTAGGTCATCAGTGGGTGACTGGGGAATCTTTGTATGCATTACCAGTCAGTCTTGTAATTTATTCTTGTGTAATGCTGTAATGGTGGCTATACAGTGGTACCTTGGGTTTCAAACACCTTGGGTTACAAACACTTCGGGTTACAGACTCCGCTAACCCGGAAGTAGTACCTCGGCTTTACCTCAGGATAAGAACAGAAATTGTGCAGCAGTGGCTTGGCGGCAGCAGGAAGCCCCATTAGCTAAAGTGGTACCTCAGGTTAAGAACAGTTTCAGGTTAAGAACGGATGTCCAGAACGAATTAATTTCTTAACCAGAGGTACCACTGTATGCTACTTCCAGAATCAACAGAGGCAGTTCTCTGAACACTAATGACTGGAGAACAGCAGTGAGAGAGGGTGATTACCCTCAAATTCAGCTTGTGGTCTTCCCGTGGACATCCAGTAAGCTATGGTGGCAAACAGAATGTGCTTTCTCTGACCCCTGCTGTTTCCCTCAGCAAGTTGGAGGGTGACCATTTGCTGTGGGTTGGGGAATGCTGCCCTAACTGTGTAGGTTCCCCACACAAAGAGGAGCTCTGGAAAATCAGGATTATATGTGGTGCAGGAAGCCCCCATGAATAGGAAAAGGCCACAGCTTGTAGCAGGTGAGGGAGGGGCCAAAGCTTAAGGTATTCACTTCTACTCCCATGTTCTACTATTGTGAGTCCAAGTGGAGCAGCTGTTGCTGTCCAATGAGGAAAATGAGGAGCAGGGCATGGAAGGGACCACAGGTGGGGAGCAGGCTGAGAGGGAAGATGTGGCCTCCTGCGCATTTAGATGTTGGGGAAAATGTAGGCAGTCCCATTAGCTGCCTAGCCTGCTCCCTAGCAATGGACGAGGGTTTTAACCTACCAGGAGGGGAGTCTGGGCAGCTGGAGTGGTACCTCAGCTTGTGGGACTGACCTCCATCCCATCACTGAAAACTCAGGGCTGCCTCTGCTGTTGGTAACAGATACATGCTCTTCATAGAAGCTTGTGCCTCCAAGTGTGTTGGTCTCACAGGGAGAGCACGCCACAGCTGAACTCAAAATCTGATAGGGAGGTGTGACCATTTGTTGGGACATCTTTGCAGCTTTCATCTAGTTTTAGATCCCTGATGCTGATCTTAAATTCTCTAGCTGTGCTTTTGGCAATCTGTACCTATAGCCTGACCTGTGCCATTGTAAGCCTTAAATAAAGCTTTCCTCCTTACTCACATGTAAGAACCTCTGTTGTAGCATTTGGGCCACTTACTCATGAGTTGAACTCCTGAATAGGGTTTATCTCCCATGGAAATATATTTCACAATGGGAGTCATTCACTTCTTGGGCATCCCAGATGAAATTTATTAACAGGGCTTTGGTACAACCTTTTTCTACTAAGCCACAACTTTGGTTTCCACTGATATTTGCTTAGGATGGCAACCTTAAAAATACTATATATTCATTTTCTCATTTGGTGTTATTCTCTTAAAATATGTTTGGTTAATTTAGGGTAAAGGAAATATGGAAAGCAGTACCAATGAAATTCTCAATTTAGTTTTCAACAATTATCATTTAAGCTCATTCTTACAAAGACATCATTTTTGAATCTCAAAAATGTTGGATGCTTAAGCTGATTAAAAGTGTGGATTTTGCTTGCTTTTAGTTTGGTGGCCACGAAGGAAACAGACAGTGCAAGATCACGCAGCATGCCAATGTCTCCATCAGATTTCCTGGATAAATTAATGGGTAGGATGTCTGGCTACGATGCAAGAATAAGACCGAACTTCAAAGGTAATGTCATCTCCCAAGTGTCCATTTGGGTTATAATGTTGCTTGAATTGTTTTAGAAGCAATACAAATGTTTGGCTCATAATTGAGAATATGGTTTTGATCATTCACACTTCAGCAATCTTTTCTTTTTTAAAACAACTACATGTTCTTCTGCTGGTTCAAACTTCTAGAGATGTTACAGTGCTAAGTTTCAATTGGAATGGAGAATTCCTGCAACATTTTTGGATGACAGAATATAAATTACTAAATGTAGTTAAGGTTATGTTAGAAACATTAAAGAATATTGCAGCTATTTGGTGCCAAACAGTTCTGTAATGTGCCTGTTATGAAGTGTCAAACTGGATGTGACAGTCTTGTCACACAAAATGGGGAGAACGCAGAACTAGTTTGCCAACCTTCTGACTTTGCCCCAGCTAGTCCTCCCTATCCTGTAGAAAGTCCCCAAAACATCACACAAGCGGGTAGCTATAACAGGTAGCACAGTGATAAAACAGTTAGTTATGAGTAGGCATGGGGTGAAAAAATGCAGCCTATTGCAATTAAACATCCACATGCCCACATAGTTTAAAAGCAACCACAGAAATTGCATGACATTTATGTAAATTTACAAAGGTGAAAGTATTTCTACAACTGGCTGGAAATAAAAAAAAATAGATATGAGATTCCTTAGGCTAGTGGTACTCTGCTATGCTCCCTTGAAAAGATGGACTGTTATGGGTGGTGCTGAGAACTTACATTATTCAATTTTTCTGTTTGTCATCAGGTGCTAGAGATTTGGTCAGAAGTAAAACTTAGATGCTACAATGCTGTCAGGGCCCCACAGGTGTTGTGGGCAAACTAAAATACTGGGTCAGGGTAAGAATAGAGAGCAATGCCCACCATTCCTAAAGGAGGGAGACCACCACATGGGTTTCAGATAGCTCAGCCATATCTGATCCTGGCTCTGCCCTTGTATTGGAATCTTATTCAATAGTGATGTGTATGAATAAGTCAATTGTGTGGGTCTTTCACACACAATAATCACCTAATTGGGAAAGACACACACAGTTTGTCATGCCCACATGATTCCAGTATCCGTGTCCAGTATCCGTGTGCATACCATCCCTGTGGAGGACTGCATCATGCAATTATATGTAGGAGGAAAATATGAAACCCTCTGACCCATGTGTATGGATTGGCTGGGTGCCTGGATTCAAAACGCAGGAGAGAGCCTTCAGTAGCAGAGTTTAAACTCAGAATAATGTGGGAATGTAGGTTGCTAGACCATTTTATCCCATTTGCTTGCATACGGTGCTCCCCCCCTTTCTAGATATTCTCTTTCACACAAAATGGTTTCCATCGGGAGGTTTATTTAAATCATTCCCCATGGTGACTTGGACCACATAGTAAGCTATCAGTGTTCTCAGTGTCCTCGAAACCTTAAACCCAAACATGTGCAGAGGAGCAGCCTGAATTCCTTCATCTGCATAGCAACTCAGCGAACCACTTCACACAAACAGCTTCCTAGCCATAGGGAACCATTTAATTCTGCCTCCATGGGCAGCTGTTCCATATGTGCTGAGCCTTGTGTGCTTGGGTTTTTTGCTTGGTGAGAGAAAAAAGAAGGTTGCTATACAAGTGAACTTGCACAGTTACATAAGATATGCACTTCTAATATTACTTTCCTGATGTTGTGGCGGTATCATCTTCCTAATTACTCTCTCTCCCCCACTGCCACTGCTTTGCAGCCAAAGCTGTTCTTGTTTACTTACCATAGTTATTCCCATTAGCACATAAACTTCAAGTTCAATCTACCTTAGCTACGCTGCACAGAAGATGACTTCAGGCAAATAATAGGAGGCAATCCAATCTCTTTCCACTTTTTATTGGAATCTTTTAAAGATCTCCAGGGGAAAGCATTAGTCGAAAGCTAAAGGCATGGAGGGTCATTTGGAGATTGGATAGTGGAGCTTATTATAGACACCAGGAGGTCATGCCAACTGTGGAATAGGGCAACATGTTTTCTAAATATCAAAAGCTTTATTTTGTAATTGCTGGAATACAGAAGGGGCACAAATCTAATTTGGCACTTTTCTCTTTCTTAAAAGAAAAAAAAATAAATCTGAACTATTAAGCGGTAGTTAGTTTTAATGTTTTTAAGTTATGTCCTTCTGCCACAGAGTGGCTTAAGAGAAACATAAAACTGAAACAATCATGCTATAAAAATATCAATAAAATCACAAGATTACAATTAAAATACTAAAGCACTAAGTAATATCTGTAAAATCATAGCCCAGAAACAATACAATTCATGTTCCAAAAGCAAAGATAAACAGGAACATCTTGAGATGCCATTTAAAGATGTCAGTTGCGGGAATACCTGCAAGGAGAGGTTCAGACTTATTGTTCAGATAAGCATCCTCCTTGCCCAGTTTTTGGTTTGTATGTGTTTCTATACTGTGGGAGAAAATATTGCCAAATAGAATTTCATATTATTTTGGACTCTGCGCCTAAAGCCAGCCAATGACTTAGCATGAATGCTCAAATGTCCTGGCTCCTGAGGCAGCCACATTGCTTCTCGCCAGGAATAGGAAGAGTTTCAATTTAGTTATAATTTAAAGGTGAACCTACCTAATTCACACTTTCTTAAACAAGGCACAACACCCCTTGAACTTCACACAGTTCAAAATTCCACAGTGCTGTTTTCCAGCCAAGTAGCATGTATAAGAATGCATATACTAGGGTAAAGTGTGCATAAAAATGCAGATATTAATGAAAGCATGATACAAAAATGCATTCTGTTAGGAGAAACTGCATTGAAAAAAGTGTATATAAGGAAAATCTGCAAACTGATGTGGAAATGTGGAAAACAACATATGTGGGGAAAATGAGAAACTAAGGGCTTATCCATATCTCTGTGTGCCGCACTGCTTTCCCTGTGGGAAAACCAGCAGTTTAGTGCTAAATTGGAACAAACAGCAATTGGCTTTTCCATGGATGGCCGTTGGTTCTGACTTAGGGCTTTTGTTGTTGTTTAGTCGTTTAGTCGTGTCCGACTCTTCGTGACCCCATGGACCAGAGCACGCCAGGCACCTCTGTCCTCCACTACTTCCTGCAGTTAGGTCAAACTCATGCTGGTAACCTCGAAAACACTATCCAACCATCTCGTCCTCTGTCACCCCCTTCTCCTTGTGCCCTCCATCTTTCCCAGCATCAGTGTCTTCTCCAGGGAGTCTTCTCTTCTCATGAGGTGGCCAAAGTACTGGAGCCTCAGCTTCACGATCTGTCCTTCCAGTGAGCACTCAGGGCTGATTTCCTTAAGAATGGATGCGTTTTATCTTCTTGCAGTCCATGGGACTCTCAAGAGTCTTCTCCAGCACCATAATTCAAAAGCATCAATTCTTCTGCGATCAGCCTTCTTTATGGTCCAGCTCTCACTTCCATACATCACTACTGGGAAAACCATGGCTTTAACTATACGGACCTTTGTTGGCAAGGTGACGTCTCTACTTCTCAAGATGCTGTCTAGGCCTGTCATTGCCCTTCTCCCAAGAAGCAGGCGTCTTTTAATTTCGTGGCTGCTGTCACCATCTGCAGTGATCATGGAGCCCAAGAAAGTAAAATCTCTCACTGCCTCCATTTCTTCCCCTTCTATTTGCCAGGAGGTGATGGGACCAGTAGCCATGATCTTCGTTTTTTTGATGTTGAGCTTCAGACCATATTTTGCACTCTCCTCTTTCACCCTCATTAAAAGGTTCTTTAATTCCTCCTCACTTTCTGCCATCAAGGTTGTGTCATCTGCATATCTGAGGTTGTTGATATTTCTTCCAGCAATCTTAATTCAATCAATCAATCAAAATGTTTATTCGGCTTTACGCCCATCATGAAACACAACACAACACAACAAAACAAATAAAAACAAATCAAATCAAATAAAACAGTGGACTCGTACAAGCCACAAGTAGTATAACACAGTTCTCAACTCAGAAGGACAAATATTAGCCATTCATAAGAAAAGTTTAACATTAAGATTTTAAAAAAATAAAAAAATTTAGGCACTACACTAAAATCAATATCTCATGTAATTATAGAAAATTCTTATAACTATCAATAATCAGCTAACATTCCATTCCGTCTCTTGTACGATAGGACGGCTGTTAGGAATTTAGCAACCTGTAGGGTGATATAAGGATCCACATCTTGAAGAACCCAGGCCAGCTGTAGGTCTACTGATTTGTCAGCCATAGGCTGGATTATGGAGTTTAGTATACTAGCACGGGCTGAACTGTACAAAGGGCAGATAAACATAACATGATGTAGAGATTCAGATGTTTTCATTTCACACGCACACATTGAAGGGACTTGGCCCTTAGTGAATCTATGTCTCAACACGTTTGTTGGAAAGACATTAAACCTAGCTCTAATGAAGGCATATCGGTGAGACGCGGCCGTAAGCGATGTTAAGTAGGACGGAGCGCGGTAGATAGGGGTTATGCCGAAATTTAATGGCGAGCAGACTCCACCACCAGCTACGAAATTTTGGTATAGCTCCACATCATCCAGCCTTTGATTTATACACCTTTTTGCCACGTTTAGATCCAGTTTGAGCAATTCAGTGGGCGAGATCTCATAGGACAGCAATTTGGCATGGATTTTTCCTGACCACAAATTGGTGAAGTCATCTCGCCACATGCATTGAATGAGATAGTGGTTCGGGAGTTTATGCCATAGGGATATCCAATAATTCAAAACTCTCCTCCATATAACTAATCTTAATTCCAGCTTGGGATTCATCCAGCCCAGCCTTTCGCATGATGTATTCTGCATATAAATCAAATAAGCAGGGAGACAAAATACAGCCTTGTCGTACTCCTTTCCCAATTTTGAACCAATCAGTTGTTCTATATCCAGTTCTAACTGTAGCTTCGTGTCCCACATAGAGATTTCTCAGGAGACAGATGAGGTGATCAGGCACTTCCATTTCTTTAAGAACTTGCCATAGTTTGCTGTGGTCGACACAG